CTACAGTACTGCTCTACAAAATCCATGTCTTCTCAATGTTTCATTCCGTGGAACGTTAAACTAAATTAATTTTATTTAGTTTTATCTAGTTTAGTTGAATATTTAATAAAAAAACTAAACACTTTTAAAATTAAACGAAAAAACTAATAAAGTGATAAAATTGCTCTGAAATAATCATTCTAATAGATTACTGTATATGCTATGCCTGAATTTTCCATATAATGTTTACTAATTGCTTTTAAAAACTACTAAAGTTCGCCATTGTACTAGTTATCCTCTCTCTTTCCAATGAGACCTCACTCGTCAAGATCCGTCGAGTTGTGCGATTTTGTGAATGCACATCTCAAATATCTCTGAGTCTTCCTTATCTAAGTCAAATTGACTTAGAGAACTTACAGAATGTGAACACGCAAAAGCAAAAGTTACTCATTCAGTGTGCGAGTACGTTATGTTTTGCCTCAATTTGGACATGCGCAGTTACTCGTTTCTTTTTGCTCCTATATTCATGATATGAAAAATAATATACATTACTTTATGCAAATAATATCTTTTTTATGTGTACCTAATATTCACGGACTTGGAGGTTGCCATTCTGTAGATCGGGCTTTGGAAAATTAATTTTCTATTTTGACCTGTATCGTCCACACGTTCTCTTGGAAAGGAATTGCTGGAAGCACCGTCTCGGATTGACTCTGTCAGTGAGCATAATGCATATTAAGTGTAAATATTTAAAGCTTTTTGAGTGTATGTTTTGCAGGACTTGCTAGAATTTCGTTTATAATAGATACCAACTTATGACGCCAGCTACGCTCAATAATAATACCGGATGTGTCAAATAAACGAGGCATACTTTTAAATAATAATCATACTCCCTAAAACTTTTACCGCTGTAAAAATTTAGAATATCATAAAAAGGAATTCATTACTGGAAGTTTCCAGAATCAGACGGAGTTTAAAATTTTTGGCTAAAGATTTTTCACAGGTACTTAGAAATAATAATAAATCTTACTACTGAAGGATCAAAAAGCATTCAAGAGCCAGCCAAGTATCCCCAAAATAAACGTACAAATCTTGTGATTTGTATCTTTCCAACCCTTCTGTAAATCGAGGCATATTCTAGAAAAAAATATTTAAGATGAGTTTCATTATAAACTTTATTTCAAAACAATGGATATTTTATATGTTAGGATCTGCTTGAAATCTAAGTCTAGCAAATCTCTTTAAAAGGATTCCACTACACAAGAAGTAAATACTTACCAAATTGGCTATCAACCAGACAAACAAATCCACCATATATGCCTTATATTGTCTTATTGAATATGTTGAAAATGCTATCTCGTCAAAAAGGGTAGCATTATGTGCGTTCATTGCATACAAGGGGCATTTAATAACATATCAGAATCTATTAACGATGCAGGAGCTGATCAAATGCATTCAATGCTAATTAATAGGAATATAAAATAACAACAGAAGAAGAGAGCACGAACACAATTTCAACAGAAACGGGAGTGCGACAAGGCAATTCCCTGTCAACCACACCCACCACACAAAGCGTAAGCGAAAGAAGCGTTAAAGAAGGAAAAACAAAATACCTAATCTGTTTTAGAAAAGAAGGAACATGATGAGAGAAATTAAGATTATACTTTTAGTTTTCTAAAAGTATAAAAATAAATTTAAAAATTAAGGAAGTGAAGTAATGGAGCGAATACTAGCAGGCAACAAAACATACTGGAGATACCATAGGCTAAAGAAAGATAAGAACTTATTCAGAAATAAAAAAAAGGAAAGAAAATTGCACTCAGACCATTGGTCCGACAAAATTTCATGAACCTGACTTACTCATTTTGTGACGTCAATCTACGAACGAAATTATGAAATCATGATAAAACTATGACATTACTGAAAATATTTATTTGTCTGTAGTGGGTTCTCACTTAGACAGTCAAAACCAGTTTTTGAATTTTATACTAAATTCAGTATGAAATTAAAATAGTTAATATTTTTAGGCTTCATTTTTTTCGGGCATGCGTATTTCCAATGTTAATGAAGTTTTGAAACACTCGTAGTTACAAACGCAGCTAGGACAGTGTGCCTCAAAGATAAAGATGAAGAAAGATCAAGAATATTCGAAAGGAAAATTTTCAGAAAAAATCTGGACCTGATAAGAATGGAAAACGGAGAAATGAGAAAAATAATGAACCAATCAATCAGAGACATAATGAAGGGAGAAGATATAGTTAGATTTATTGAATCGCATAGACTGATACGGCTGGGACACGTGGAGATAACGAACGTAACACCTAGAGAGAGATGGGAGGACCAGGTCATGATATCAAAATCCTGAAAGTGAGAAACTGGAGAGATTTATGTACAGACTGAAATGATTGCAAGAAAATTCTAACGAAAGCCAAGTCATTCAACAAATTTTGACAATATACAAGAATAATGCATAGTGATTCATCGCGATAAGCGAATCAAAGAACTGTAAGTAAGAGCGGTAAACATTCCAACAGGAATTAAAGGCCTCGATGATGAAAATGATTGGCAGTATATAACCCATTGTGTATTACAGATCCCAGAAGCCAAGGGGTCAAAGTGCAAAAAAATTTCTATGAGTATTTCAAAGTTTTTGAGATAATCCAAGTTTAAGTTCAAAAAATATGATTAGGTCAAATTTGTAGTTACGTTGTATTTTTATGTAATTAAGTTGTACATAGTTTTGGATGCTGCACCTGGATCTCTTATTATAACTACACTTGGACCGCTTAGTTTCTAAGTGTAGATTAATAATGGCACTGTTTTAAGACCACTTATCTTTATTTTTAGGATTTAAGATAAGCAGCACAAACTTCAGATATTCACACAAACCTTTCTAGACGAATGAAATCTTATTTCACCCTTTTTGAAAATGGCATTTAGGACTGATCATTTAGGATGAGAGAGTACCTCACGGCAGCTTTAAAGATAATGCTAGACTTGACTCCCCGTGTATATACATGTAAGTAGGATCACTATAGATAGTGCCTTTAGGCTAGCATGTGCTCAGGATCAGAAACCCGGCGACTTGACAGCAGAGTGTCGGATAACACAAAACAAAATCGCAAAAATCACAAGTGATACTCTCACTAATTATACTGCTGGGTCAAAAACATTTAAAGGAGTAGGAATAAGGGTTAATGGTCCTAACACAAATATAGCCCCGAGAAAAACTTCTACTTACATTATTTTAAATGGAATTACTAGCAATAGATTTTTGTTCAAAGTTCATGAAAAAATGCCACAATTCTACCAAAATATTGTTTACCTTTTACAACTGAGCTACACCAAAAACTCTATCTACAACTGTTTCTGTTCGTAACAGTTTGAAACTGCAAGAAGCAACTAATGTAACTATGTTACGGATACCAGGGCATAAAGGAATTGTTGGTAACTAGATTTGCGATTGGCTAAGAAAGGAGCTAGTAGTCATTTTATCGAACCGGATCTATTCTGCAGTGTTGCGAAAAGGCGCATTTGAAAGATTTTCAAAAATCGTAAAGGGAAGTTAGTGCAGCATAGTGCGAAAATATTCCCGGTTAAAAGTCAAAAGTAAAAAAGTTATTACAACTTTTTTTCGCTACGCAAAATACTCTTAGAGCTTCATCCAATTCAGCTGTGGGGATCAAGCTAAATAATCTGTCGAATATGTGTGATTTGAAATTAATTACTTTTTACCAAAATTCCTATTGAAGTCAGAGGAAGGATTTGATATGGAAATATGCCAAAGCATCGAGGCCATGCGAAAAATGTAGAAAACGCGGATCTGGTTGGAAAAACCTCTGTAATTGATAACCATCCCAATGAGATCATTATGTCAACAATAAAGCGTCGGACTATTGGTTATCACGAGGGGAGATGTTTCTTGAAATAAAAAGGTGTTCCATTGCCTTTCAAGAACCTACAACGTAAAATGACAAAATTTTATATTGATTTTACTGTAAGAAACTATTCAAGATAGGAAGAATGTAGAAATTCTTGCTTACCTAGCTATTCTCTAACTTGTATCCTAGTATAAAGCAGGTAATAAAGTAAGGTATCCTTTGTGAGAGAGATAGAGAGAATTGGTCTTAAAACAATTGGTCTTAAAATTAATACCTCAAAGACAAAATTTATTTTAGACCAACCTTGTAGTCAGTGGTAAAATTCTGATTGAGAGCCATAGCATCGACCAAGTAATAGCTTACAAATATCTAGGCCATGAGATTCGCTTAGGCCGAGATAATCAGACAACTGAAATACAAAGAAGGATAGGTCTTACATGGGCTGCCTTTGGTAGATTGAATAACATTTTCAAGTCTAGTATCCCAGTTTGTTTACAAAGAAAGGTTTTTAACCAGTGCGTTTTACCGGTTCTTACATATGGTGCAGAAACACTGACTCTGACAAAAGAACAATAGATAAAATAAGAGTTACACAACGCGCTATGGAAAGATCAATATTAGGTATTACCATCAGAGATAAAGTACCCAACCTAGAAATAAGAAGAAGAACAGGAGTCACAGATGCAGTTGAAAAAATAGCCATGGTTAAATGGGCTTGGGCCGGACATGTTGTCAGATTAGCGGGTGATAGATGGACCAGAAAGATTTTGGAATGGCGACCAATGCAAGATGCATATCGAAGCAGAGGGCGACCACCGACTAGATGGACGGATGATATCAAGCGCATCACCACAAACTGGATGCAAGAAGCTCAAAATAGAAATAGGTGGAAAATTTTTCGGGAGGCCTACGTTCAGCAGTGGACAAATATAGGCTAATTGATGATGATGATGATCCTTTGTGACTTAATCCATGATACTATTTAATAAACCTGGAGTAAGCTGCCACATTGTCTAATTATACCAGGTGTTGATTTTGTGGATGGCTGAAGAAACTGAATTGCTGTTGGTTTATTTATTAATAACTATTCTTATAATTTGTTTAAGGGTAGTTAGTTGTGTAGTCATTTACTTTTGTTTTGAATATATTTATTAAGTAATCTATAGACATAAATATTTTATAATACATACAATTAAAAAAAAACTAAACTTGACCATAAAATCCATCGCCAACCTCATTACCATGTCCACCCTCATGCTTGGCCGCTTCAAGTTCTGCAGCTATTCTCGCATGGTCTGCTGCAATCTTTTCATAAAGAGACAAATGTTTGTTTTTGGCATATTGCACAGCCACTGTATCAGCGGGCACGAAGACTTGTCCTGGTGATGCTTGTTGTGCGTCTGCAATTGCTGCGTATTTTCTGAGATGGTTAATTTTAGCAGCTGCCACTACTGGTGTATCTGATGGTAGAGCTGGTACGTCGTCATTGGATGTGACGTGGAATCCGTCTTTATCGGCAACGTAGTCTACCTTGCGGATTCTGAATTTGGGATCTACATAGGAATATGATCCTGAAATTAAATAAAAATAAATTAAAAATTAAGAATAAGAAACGAGTAATTATTAATAAAATTAAAAAATGATCGCGTGCTGTGCTTATGATAGCAGCACTCTGCAGCTACTGCGTGCGCCCAATTCACAAAACGCTTAAAAAAAAGAGTTTTTGTAGATTTTGTAGACAACGTAAGAAATAATAGCAGCCAGCTTTGAAGACAACAAAACAGCTGTTTACATAAATTATAAGTAAGTATATAAATTTTTATTAAACAACGCAAAAAATAAAAATACCAAGTATAAAATATTGTAGATCATGAATGAACTATTGTAGATCTTCAACTCTCTTCGCAAAGTTTTCATGAGTTTTATTCCTTTTGCTCCAATTTTTGCTCTTTTAATATATGAAGATAATCCTGTCTCTCTAAATGCTCCATTATTATAATATTCCGGCTGTTCAGTTAAATATTAACTGTTCTATAGCATGCGTCTAAATACACAAGAGAGACTACCCAACAGATAGACGTATATATTAACATAGAGACATAGATCGTCAGTCTGTAGAGCCGACACCATCTTTGTTTTCGGCGATGTTGGTTGTGTCTCTATTTTAACTCAAGTAAGTACAGCAGTGTCTCTTTTTGTTCGGGAGTGAGCGAGTGAGGAGTTTCAATGCGCTGGAGAGGAACAGATCAAACAAACGCAAAATATGTTGTCGTCACTGCTCGTTGCTGGCATGCTTAGTCTAAGTTAATATATACGTCTATGACACAGTAGGTATATTGCTTTATAAAGAAGCGATATACTGTGTCTATACCCCAACCAGTGCGTTAGCCAGTTAGACTGTTGCATAAGAGATACTGCACCTTAATTTTTGGTGAATTTTAAATTGTATATGCATTATATACTCCATGAGCGGACATGGTGGACATCTTGTCAATTACAGTAAATGGGTTCAGTTATTAAAACACAAGATAGAAGAATATGTAAAATAAAAGAAGAGATATACAGTGTCGGAACCCAAGAAATAAACATACAGCCACAGAAAGAAAAGCTATAACAATTAGCAAAAATTATATACAAAACCATCTTGTTGAAACCAAATAACATTAAAATTTAGTCCTAAATTTCTGCAATATAATTAAGTATTTCTAGACTTACTTCAATTAACAACAGACCGACAATGTGAAGCTTAATGATGCCACACCCCTAATTTAATTTCTGTGAAAATTCTGCATTTAAATTCTTACACAGTAAGTTCTTTGCGTTTTCAGAGAACCAAGCTCGTCTGTAGAATTGACTGAGTACAATGAACGTGATAAGACCTATATCCATGTTTTCTAATACGTATCCAATCGTTCTTGAAGTAATGGCTGCTTTCTTGGCTAATTTCACCAGTGACACAAATTGTAATTCCACGTTCTAGATTTGATTTCGTGCAGGACTTTCATTTAAGTATTTATATAGTTTTAATAGTATTTATAGAGTATATTTATAAGTTAATATTTAGTGTAGATACAATCGATGTTTTGAATTGTTTTTATCGGTCTAATTTCTTTTCAACTATAGTGAAATTCACACTGAGAGTGCAGTACGGCTAAGACAGGGCAATGCTTTTCTTCTGGAGAATAAACACACAGGGTTGTCGACCTTCGCCAGCTGTGGATTGCTTACTCAAGAGCGTCGCACAGGACCGGTTTTCATAAAATGCATCTCTCGGCAGTACCAGTATAATAGTTTATATTATGCATACACTAGAATAAAAAGGCGTTGTAAAAGTTGTAATAATTGAATACTCCACGAAATGTATAAATCGCTTGGAAAGTAACTACTAATTTTTTTTTCGAATATTTTGTACTTGAAGTAGCGATGTTTTTATAAAGCTCGAATAGCTTTAAGGTAGATTTACGAAATTAGACAAAACTTGTGAAAATATTTTCAAATATGTAGTGATGTCAAAAAATTAATTATATATCGTATATAAGTGATATCATTTAACCAATTCAAATAATTCCTAAAAATATATAGGTACCTAAGCAATTAAATGTATAACAAATAATGCTCAATTTATGCAAAATTGAATAATATTAAGAATAACATTTCTTTTGTAAAAGTTGTTGCAGTTTCGAAACCGTATCTAAACATTTGTTCGTTATTAACATACTTTGTTTGTTATAACAGACTTTTTGATAGTTTTGATTCTCTCCTATATTTAAACGATATTTGCTTGTACAATGGCACAGTGATTTAAGGGCTAAACACTCCAAGACGGCCATCTGCTAGATCAGGGCGAGTTCCATGTGCCATATGAGAGAGATGTGTTTTTTGAAGTTAAAATCAGGGTCGAGTTTTATCTCTCAAACCATACAGATGTATGTGTGTAAAGGTACCTGCGACACTCCGCATGGTCCTGCGACCGAGATAGACGTCAAATGCAGTTGGGGTGGAATGTGCATTATCAACATTTCGTGGTTCCAGTGCGTCATGGAAGATGTAATTTGTCATAAGGGTATTGCTGCATATATCAAGTACGTTACTTGGTATATAGATTTCATATTTGCTTAGAACAATTATCTCAGTTGAGCCGCGATCGCGATTGTACATTTTAACCATTTGAGAACATTTTACGTTTGGTTAAACGTTATTACCTTTATCGCAGATTTGTATGTTGTATGAATATTTGTATTTTTATTGTATATTTGTATTTGTATGTTGTATGTATATCACAGCTTTTACGTGATGAGTTTACTAATTGTATTAATTTCATTATTAATTTAATGTGTATTTCATTACCGATTATACTTTGAATTGAGTTTATTAATATTTGTATTTACGTTCAATATAATTCATATATATGTTATGTCTGATTGAATTTTTTGTAACTTTTATCAATAAGGTTTGTTCATTTCACCACAGTTTTCTATCGTTAACTGTCTCAGTCAGGAGCTGACAGCCGTGCCGGACGCAAGTTATTGTTTTATTTTTGATTTCCTGCATACCATTTCTTTTATTTTCAGCATTATTGTATATTCAGACCTTGTCAGGTTAGAATATTACATATTTGTTCATGTACTGATTGTTTGCTATTTTATTTGATTATTTTTGATTGTTTATATTCTTGTATTTTGTATCTAAGCTGTTCTTCCGTAAGTTAAGATCACTTAGAAATATTAACCTTATAACCTTGCTTTTTTCCATTTTTATAGATCTGATTTTGTACTTTGTATCTGCGGGATGAGGCGGAAATATTTCCGCCTCCGCCAGGCTGGGAGCCATTCTGTCTCCGGCTTCTATAATATAAAAATGTAGCTTCTCCAAATTTAAATTTTAAAGTGTTTGTTTGTCTTTAGTGTATTTGTTATGTCCCAGTTTACATGTATGACATTTGGTTATTGCTGGATAGGCCACAATTGACGAAATGCCCCTGAGGATGATCTTGTGATCGAAAGTACTTGGGCAAGATTTAATTAAATACTGTGTTCGATATTTGCCTTGTGTACCATCAAAGTTCATTTATTCGAACATTCAACCTTATATTGATTTATATATAATGTGCCTACCTACCCTAATCAAATATATACACTAACATACATCGTAATTAAAATTTCAATTACAACTGCAGCAGGGCAAAAGAAACTTTCAAAGAAAGGTGTTATTCCCTCTCAATGCCTTCTTAAAGGAAAACACGAAAGAAAAATTAATGAGGAACTGGTGAATCCTAGACTGATGCGTACTGGCGGGCTTTACAAGTGCATTTTACCACCCACTTGTCTCTTAACACATTCACAGTGATTTCATATGGGGCACCTTTAAATTAGTCGTTTGCAGACACAAACCGACTAATTTGTTATTATATTTGCCACACAACACAACGTGGCCAGCCTTTAACAAGCCTCGTCTTCTTTTAAAGGTCTTTTTGTGTCTCCTATATATTTCAAAATATGGAGCAGACTAACTTCAATTTCTTTATTTGCCATTGCGTTAACAAAAAAATAAATGGAAGATAATAAATAGGGATAATTTTTAGACACAACAATCATTCACCTACAAAGATTATGGTAGCTCTGTTTTGTTTTCCTACGTGCGTGATCAGCTGATCATCTGTCAAAGTGCCCCTTATAGTTTGTTGACATCGCCAATAGAAATAGATTGAATTTAATTTGGCTCCGTTAATAATACGGCGCCTGTACCAAGATCACAACTTGAACTTGGGAACCCACCCTTAGCAACATTAAGTTCTGCGAAAGCTGCCTTACTGTGCTAAAGGACCTTTTAGGTTCACCTGTAAGATTCTATTTGGAGCATAGTCAGAGTCTGTGAAAATTTCTTTTTGTTTCGTGTCCATTTTATTGCTAGGGGTCGCGACGAAATGCTCGGAACGAGTCTCGGGCATGGCAGTGTGTCGAGTCAGTCTTTATGTGCCATGCATAGGCACTATGATGGTGTTACACCTGAAATTGGTGATTTAATTGGGCATGTTGTAAATGTGCATGTATGTATGTTTATTTTGCTCGTATGTTTATGTGTGAGTGGGTGTCATGTTCAATCAAAAAATTTATAGTTAATGATATAGCTAGAGCTCTTATGTCGTGTTCTCAGTTGATACAGGGTTGTTTTGTTTACCTTATTCACATATATCCTATGGTCCTTTATAACCATAGGACGTTTAAATTAATCATATTTATTTCACAATCCAACCTTATCAATTGCTCGAAGTATTAAGTCCATGTGTAAATGAGCATTCTAGACTTATACTTTATAGTCTTTAACGAAATAAGTTTAGGAGCGGAAAACGCTTTGTCTCAAGTTGGTCATTCAGACTTATGTCTGTGTTTTTTAATTTGTTAATTTCCATAAATTCTAACAAAGATAGCTTGAAGAATTCGAAATTCGTCATTAAAAGAATGAATATGATCTAGAAGGTAAAGTGTTTTGGCAGTTTGACCAATGTAAGTTTTTGGGCAGTCGCCACATTTAAGTTTGTGTACACCTCTGTGTAAATACATTCTAGAATGTTTTTGTTCTTAGGTTTGAGCCTCATTTTTTCAAAGGCTGCATAAAGCTCCATTATCGCAACTTTTCGGCTAATTAAGTACTCCCTTGATCAACAAATCTTAATAATAATCTTCTCGATAAATAATAGTCTTTTCTCAACAGATAATATAATGTTTATTCAATATGTAGTTTGTTTAATATTAATGAATGACCGAATAGAAGAGCGGCATAAACCGGGAAATTTGGTAGTAGTGGAACCTGTTGCCCACTTTCATTAACAAGGTAACAGCTAATACCGTAATTTTGTCGAAATGAAATTTTGTCTCATTTGAAAGCATCAGTCAATCCAATGTTAAATTATATGTAGGGTGACCATATGTACTTTTTTTAGTAGGACAGTACTTTCTTTTCAAACGCTGTGTTATTGTACTTTAAAATTTATGAAGAACACCTAAATGTACTCTTTTTCTTAATTACACAAAATTAAGTCCTACTTTTTGTCCAAACAAAATATAATTATGATTCGAATTGATGCGCTTACTGTTGATTACTTTTTACCGACACTTTTCATCGTTTTTTAATTTATTTTGTGCTGTGTGTTGAAATAAACAATTTCATCATGTCATCGCCTAGAAGAAAATGCCATTTTAACGTCGAGATGCAAGCAGAGTATCCTTTTATGACACAAAATCAAATGTTTTACCGCATATTGTGTGGCTACTAATGCGAACTCGGAGAGCAGAAAATTGGAAACCTTTGTTAAAAAAGAAAATTTAAGTTCTGAAAATATGTTGATTGCTGCAAAGAAAGGTACTTTTGCTTACCATAAAATTAAGCATTTGCAAAGTTTCAGATCCTTAGACTGTACGTCAAAACTAATGGTAAGCATGTTTGAAGCTAAATTTGCGGCAGTTCGAACCAAGACTGAGGCGATCATTAAAAATGTTTTAGCCTAAGAGGCTCAATCCCAATTTGAAATTGACCTTCGAAATTTCGTCAGCATTACAATCGATTCGTCGAATCATAGAGAAATTAAAGTTGTGCCCTTAAGGGGAAGATATTTTGGTGGAGAAAATAGTGTCCAAGTAAAATTACTTCAGCTACGTGACTTACCTGGTGAAACATGAGAGTAGTTAAAAGATTACGTGGTCAATGTTTTGAACCACCATAATTTACTACAAAAATCCATCGGAATGTCTGCTGATAATACAAATACAAATTTTGGTGAAATGAGAAAAAGAGGAGTGAATAATCTATTCAGCAAATTAAATGCTTCTCGTGGTAAACCCGTGATTGGAATTGGTTGTGTGGCACACATTTTTAATAACTGTTTACAAAATGCAACGGTCGTCTTACCCACAGACATCGAGGTTATTGCGGTCAAGATTTTAAAACAGTTTTGCAATTTTGTTGATATCGAGTACAAAAAATGTTGTCGTTTTCAAAAACAAGATTTTTGAGCATAATGCCAGCCATTGAACCAATTATACAAATGTTCGAACCCTTGAAAGCATGTTTTTTTCGATTGATAATTTTTCAACAGTTCTAAAACAGATTTTTCAAAACCCAATCAGTGTAGCATGGATGTGGTTTGTGCATAACATCGCGTCTCTCTTCCATAAGTGATTTTAGATGTAGAAGGTGACAAAATATGCGCAACGGAAACCCCTTTGGAGTATTTGGAACTCATAAATAAGCTTCAAAATCGCTTAAATAAGTTATTTTTACCGCTTAAAGTAAGAGAGTCCCTTTCAAAACTTAAAAATATGAAAGACCTTGACCTTAGTGTGAACTATCGGGATATCTTTATCACGCATACCAAGCAGTTCTATTTAAATTGCGTAACATATTTGAAAATCTGGAGTGAAAATTTAACTGAACTAAAGCTATTTGGATGAGTTAACTTGAAAAAACAAGTTTCTTGGGCTGAAATTATATCGTCGTGTGAGGCTTTCAAAGACTACGTAGGTCCGATATTGAATCAGGATGAACCGTTTGATGAAGTTAGTCTAATACGAACCTACGGTACAGAAAATAAAATCATAGACTAAAATTCGAAAAATATTTCTACCGAAGACGAAATCTTCCAAAAAGAAAGGGCTTTGAAAAATCTCAAAATTCTATGTGAGTTTGTTTTTTGTCTGCCGGCACCAGTGCGTCGATTGAGCGGTTGTTCTCAAATATCAATAAATATTGGAGTCCCAACAAATCCCAGACATCTACTCTGGAAGCAATCATGCAAGCCTACACAAACTTCAAAGTTTCGTGTAATGAAATGTTTCAGTTCTTAAAGAGTAAACCACAACTTTTGAAGGAAATTCATAGTTCCAAAAAGTACGACTGGTACCAAAATGATGATCAAGATGTTCAGAAAGGAACGTCGAAAGAAAATTAACTATTAAAATTTATCATACATTTTTTATGTACTTATGTTTGATTAAAAAAATCGTTCTTATCATTGTTTCATTAAAGATTCGTAAAATTTTTACTAGGGCACTAGCAGTGTACATATTTTCTTAAAAATTATCAATGTACTTTTTTTTTGTTGAAAAATTATGGTCACCCTAATTATATGTATATGTTCAGACTTCACTCCCAAGCCTGCATGTATATCGAAAGTTGAATCCACTAGTTTGCAATAAAAAATAATCAAATAAAAAACACATTCAGCAACCAGGAAACGGAGTACCTATATTTCAAATAAAATTACAGATAATTAATGAGATAATTGAATAAAAAAGTAGTTTGAACATGCTTTTAATTTATTTATTTGGAGTATTCATCACGTCAGTGTAGAGCGTTATCCCTAATTTCGTTAAAATTTCTCTTCGCATGTCAATGCCCATTAGAAAACAGCAATAAGGGCGCTTTTCTGCAATTATTTACATTAGCAAATCTCATTCTATTTTAATTTTCAATTACGTTAGGTCCTTTTTTAAACGACAGGATGGCGTGTTGCGTGCCCAAAGTTTTATTTATGCTGTAAGTAAATACCAACAATAAACACATTTGTCTCTGGGGTATTTTTATTGTGTCCGATGTTTATCGGAAAATTGAGTAAAGGGCGGAAGGAATTAAAGCGAATAGAGACCCTTTTACTCGAAAATTTTTTAAAATCAGTAGGGAATTTTTGGGATATATATATATATATATATATATAAATATATCACCAATTATTTATTTTTTTAAAATTTTTTTAAATCAGTAGTTTAAAATCAGTAGGGAATTTTTGGGATATATATATATATATAATATATATATATATATATATATATATATATATATATAAGAGTAAGAAAAAAGATTCATTTGTTTAAAAAATATTTTAATTGAAAACTCTTATCCTCCTGATATGCTACATAGGATGCTTTTTTCTAATTTATTAAATATAAATAACTTAACACCATTTTTTGCTAAATCTCAAAACACTGTATCCAACAATCAAAACATATATTATCATTCACTACCTTTTATACCATCATTAACTCCTAAATTAATACAAACATTAAAGGTTATTGACAATATAAAAATAGCAACAAAGAACATCAAAACTATTTCATCTTTATATTCCAAAACTAAATATCCTATAGATAAATTAGATCAAACAAATGTAGTATACAGCATTGTTTGTACTCAGTGTGAAGCTGAGTATATTGGTGAGACTGGAAGAAATCTCTCAAATCGCATTATTTCTCACAAGAGTGATTGTAGAATCAAGAAACCATCTTGTGCTTTGGCAGAGCATGTAATAGACAAAGACCATATTATGGATTTTGATAATATTAAAATTTTATGTAATGAAAGTAATAAATTTAAAAGAACCTTTTTGGAAATGGTTTGTATTAGCAAAAGTGATAATAATTTAAACAAAAGGTCAGAAATTCAAAATTTAAGCAAAATTTATAATTATATAATTTCTATTTAATTTATGCAGTCAGTAAAATATCACATTTTGAATTTTCCATGTATTTGTTACATTTTTTCGGGCATCTATCAATGGTGAATAAATCTTCTTCTTTTTTGTTACTTAACAAAGAAGAATTTTTTAAACAAAATTTTATTTTTGACAATATGTCAAAAATAAAAATTTTTAAGCTAGTATTTATGTCATTTTAGGCTGGTTGTAGCTATTCTATTTTTGTTTATAAATTCAATTTTTTTTTTTTCTTAAGAAACTTCATCTAAATTTTTCAGAGAAACATTTATTAGAATAAGGCATTTTTTTATTAATATTTTTTGTATTTATTATGTAAGCAGTAGTTTTATATAAAAAACTAATTTTATTTGGTGAGTTACCAAAAAATTTTTTATTTCTAGTTCAACTTTGTAAGACATTTTGTATTTTTTAGA